ATAGTATTAGGGGTTGCTGGGACAGTACTAGGGGGGTTGCTGAGACAGTACTAGGGGGGTTGCTGAGACAGTATTAGGGGGTTGCTGAGACAGTATTAGGGGGGTTACTGAGACAGTATTGGGGGGGGTTGCTGAGACATACTAGGGGGGTTGCTGAGACAGTATTAGGGAGGTTGCTGAGACATACTAGGGGGGTTGCTGAGACAGTATTAGGGGTTTCTGGGACAGTATTAGGGGGGTTGCTGAGACAGTATTAGGGGGGTTGCTGAGACAGTATTAGGGGGTTGCTGAGACATACTAGGGGGGTTGCTGAGACAGTACTAGGGGGGTTGCTGAGATAGTACTAGGGGGGTTGCTGAGACAGTATTAGGGGGGTTGCTGAGATAGTACTAAGGGGGTTGCTGAGACATACTAGGGGGTTGCTGAGACGGTATTAGGGGGGTTGCTGAGATAGTGTTAGGGGGGTTGCTGTGACAGTATTAGGGGGTTGCTGAGACAGTGTTAGGGGGGCTGCTGAGACAGTATTGGGGGGTTGCTGAGACAGTACTGGATGGAGAGAGGCTGCTGTTACAGTGTTCGAAGGGGGGTGCTGGACCCTCTCACCTTGGGAGTCAGAAAAGGCTCCAGGGAGGTGTGATGGAACCCACTGACATGAGAAGTGACATTTGAGCCCCATGAAGGAGAGGTGTCCTGCGGCTCCTGGCAGAGATCCACATTGCTTGTCAAGGCCAGAGGGTGGAGGCTACAGCATCAGCTGCCCAGCCCGGCCTGCTGGTCCCCAGGGGCATCTTCTGTCATGTTGGCAGGGCAGCTGGTCTTGAAGGATTAATAGAAAAAACTGATTAAAAGCTAAGGAGACACTGGGGTTCCTTCTCTCTTGTCATTGAAAGAGAATGAGACAACATTGTTCCAGCCTACCTGATTCTGCATAGATTGCGGGCTAGCCTGAGCATCTCACACCCTGCCTAGCCTTTGACACACGCCCGAGGCCTGCAGAGGTGTTAATGTCAGCAGCCCGTGGTACACTGGGTCAGACGCTGCCTGACTTTGGGCAGAGCGTGCCGATCCTGCCACACACCTCTCCTACGCTCCAGAAAAGTGCGCAGCTGGGTACAGCTGTGGAAGGGAGGGAGGGAGCTCTGGTTCCTGGCTCGTCCTGGCTCATCACTCGCTTGTTCCACGCCCCCACACTGTTAGCTAAAGTTTCCCCTAATTTATAAATGAGCAAAGACCAATTATCTGTGTGCTCGTGGGAATGCATAAGACAGAAAGAGATCCGCAGATGTGGTTGGTACCTGTACTTCAGAAGGGGCCGGGGAATTGCTTTTCAACCCTGAGTCTGCCGGTGGTCTATTTTTCTGTTAACCATGAATTTGGCTTCAGGAGCAACAAGACTTAATTATATACCCATTCACCAGTGGGTCTCACTTTTCACATCCACAGCCCACAGGAAGCAGCCTGATCAAGCACTGCTTTCCCCAGCGCCAGGGAACGCGGTGGGTAACGAGCATTGCGCATGCTCTGTTCACACTGGAGCACGATTCATTCAATCCATAATGGCTGACGGTTGATCTGTCACATCTTCCTGCCCTTACTGGGTCGGACTGGACACATCTGTCTTTCTGACACCTTCCCAGTGGCTGGAGCAGGGTGTGGTGGTGTGTTGATTTTTCTCTGTGAGTACAGACCTGCCCAGGCTTTGCAAACCCGTTGCTGGAAAGTTCCGTTTCCCTCCTCCAGCGTGACTTTATGTGTTTTGGATGAGGAGCAACTCTTGAGCCGTGCCTTAGGTGACCTGCTGTTCTGTCTTGTATTCCTAAAAGGCCCCTCAGAAAGACTCCTGAGCTACCCTGACTGCTCTTCCACCATCCTGAAAAGCGGGGAAATGCCCACAGTTGGCACCAAGTCCTGAGCATGGAGAACATTTGCTTCAATATCTGCTCTCTACAGCCTTCCCTGAGAGTGCCCTCCTCAAAGACAGGAGCCCTCTGCTCAGCTGCAGACAGTGGCTGCTGTTCCTAACCTCGCTCATAGAACCTCGGGTCTAAGCGCAGGATCTTATCAGTGGGCCGGACTTCCCCTCCTTCCTGCCAAGTCTAGGAAATTAGATTTGACCTCTGCTCTCATCACTTCAGAATCATTCTCGGGACTAAAGACTTGCCGCCTTTGTAGTCAGGACATCTATTACCACCCTGATTAACAGCCATGCTCCCGTGGGCGGGCCCTGAAGACAGATGTGATTTCTGTGATTCTTCAGCCCCATGTTGAGTGCAGATGTCTTTACATGAAGAAAAAAAATTATCTTTCACTAGTGTGCATCAGTGTTGGAAGGCTCTGGAGAGCATTAACAGTTTCTCAGTGAGATGCCTGGTACCAAACCTCCTTATGGGACTCTTCCATGTCCAACAGGGAAAGGTCAGCGGGGGGGAAAAAAAAGTCAAAGTAAATCCAATTTTCAGCTAGCACAGATTCAGAAATGTGATGGTTTGCTTGTCTCAGTACATGAGCGCTAGGTACTTCTTAGGCTCAGCGAAAGAGGGAGGGGAAGCATGGAAGAAAACTACTTCCTCCTAAGACTTAGAGAAGGCACCGGCTTCTCCGCTTCTGGAATTATCCTATAGAGATACTGCTGTTTGTTCAGAATCGTGGTCTTTTTTCTAGCCTTGAAGCACAAATCACTTCCACAAAGCTAGCATGTTTCTGCAAAACATACTGATCCAGGTCACAATCATCAAATCCACGCTCCGAGTCTACTTATTGTCTGCCCAGCTGTGGAAGGGTCAATGTAATATATGACCCTGTAATGAGAGGGTTTGGGTTGTATCGTTCACCACAAACCTCTCCCAAGACCAAGTCAGGGGAGCAAGTGCTTGGTACATGATTGTGAAATGAACCTGGAGGATTCTCAGGGAATTAAAGTCTAAAGGTTACAGAAAAGTACATGAGTGATGGTTCTGAAAGGATGTGGGAAGCATCCTAGGAGGAGAAAGAAGAGCCCGAGGGCAGATGGGGAGGCAGATGATAGCAAGAGGAATGGCCATGGTGATCACAGGGGGCCTGATAACGGTCTCTGAGCTGCAGGCTCTTGTGTTTTCTCTCTCTCTCTCTCTCTCTCTCTCTCTCTCTCTCTCTCTCTCTCT